CCAGGGTCCTGGGATCTGGGATCAAGCCCTATGTCGGGCTCTCTGCTCAGCAGGGAGTCTGCTTCTCCCTCTCCCCACCCCTGCTCATGCCCTCTCCAAATAAATAAAATCTTAAAAAAAAAAAAAAAAGGGCAGGATGTAGGTCGACTTTGGCCAGTCTGCAGACCCTTTCTAAAAGAGGGCTTCCACATGCGCCACATTGTTTGGGCCTAGAAAGGGTAACTACCTACTGAAAAGACAAATGATTAAAACTGGTTCTTTGCCTCTTAGGGTTTCCAATGTAAACAAGCAAATAAACACAACATGTAAACAATACAGAGACCCAGAGCGGAGCCGTCACGGTCTGCCAAAGCTCAGACCAAAAACACTGATCTTTACCCATCTTCAACATCTTCAGTTCGCTCAAGCAGCTCCTGCTTTTCAGCAGAGGGAAACACAACAGTACCAAAGGCTAAAGAAAAGCAAGTTGCTGTTGCAGTAAGGTTGGGAGAAACCTGGGGCAGGAGGAGGGGTGGGAGGCCGGCTGGCTAGTGGCTCAGCCCTGAGTCGTCAACAATAGCAACTGGACTCTGGCCCCTTCCTCACCCTGCTCATCTTCTCCAGTCTGTGCTTTGCTTTCACAGGTAGCTCTTGGGGGGCGGTTTCCTATTAAAAAAGAACAGTGTGGGAAGACCTTGCACTTCAGGCATCTTAGAGAAACAAAGAAGGTCAAACCAAGTCTCCTTATTAGTTGTTATAGCAACAAAGAAAATATCCCCAGGGCACTGAAAAGGCCATGTGGGAGCCCACTTCCAGAGCCACAATCAAAACACATCTCCCCATCCTGTGGGTAGCCCACATGCAGAATCACATTTGTACCTCTGTGCCCGAATTCCCGCATCTGCTGGCATCCCAGCTCTTCCTGCTGACTTGCTGGCCATGTCCTGGTTAAGAACACCTTAATGATTGCCTCTAGGGGCCAAACCTCACCATTTCTATCTCCTCAAGGTTTAAGACGGGATTTTATACCACCTGCCCTAGAATTACCTAGAGACACTGATTGGAAATGTAGAACCACGGGCTCCCCAGTATCTTTTGCCAACGTTTGAGAACTACAAGCTCAGAGAGTAGAATACGGGTGGCTCCATCTTATTCAGCACAGCTGTAGGCAAATGATTAGCACAAGGTCCTGCCTTGGCTGAATCGAATTATCACAGATTGAGCCAATGGGCTTACTCTGAAATCAGCCAACTGTTGACTTTCTTCAGAAGATGGGCAGCCTTACCTCCAATATTTAACCCAAAGAACTTAAAACCTCAGTATGAATGGAAAGTATTGAGTTTGCTGTCTTAATGGGAATCTGAGAACGGATGTAGTTTTTTCCTGGGACTAGAGGGAAGAAGATTTTGTTAACACAGGTGACCCTTGAGCAACACAAGGGTAAGGCACACTGAATCCTGCTCAGTTGAAAACCTGAGAATAACTTGATTCCCCTTAACTTAAAAACCTTAACTACCAACAGCCTACTGTTGACTAGGAGTCGGATTTCCAATAACGCAGTTGATTAACACGTTTTGCATGTTGTATGTATTATATATTATAGTCTTATAATAAAGTAAGCTGGAGAAAAGAAAATGTTAAGAAAATTATTATGAGAAAATACATTTACAGTACTGTATTTATGGAAAAAAATCCACATATAAGTGGACCCACACAGTTCCTGGAAACTCCCACACACAGCCTGGCACACCCAGGGATGATACTGAATAAATACTTGGGAAATGAATGAATGACTTTCAGAAACCCAAATAGTCTCACCCTAGAAAGCATTTTAATAACTACTACATTAATCGGCCTCAAACTGAGTAAAAGATCTTTATATCACTGGCCCTGCATGCAAAGGGGACACACAGAACATATACTTTATTCACCAATCCCCCCATCCCACCTCCCACCAAAAAAAATTGTTGCTTTTCTTAGTACATAATTAAAGCAGAAACAACAACTATGTCAAAGAAGAATTCTGTAGCTTAACCTCCAGATTCAGCTCATTTCCAATGTTGGCATGGGTGCTTTAGAATATAGTTTGAATCATGTACAAATCCACATGGCTTTGAAAACCTCCCCCTTTTCTTACATTACATGGTCATCACCTGGGTTAGAGATTAGAAAAAGACAAAGGAGAATCAGTTCAAGTCCCTATTCCCTTTATTTAAGCTCCAGGATTAAGGTGTTTAAATTTTTCATGGTTTCGATCCCAAACCTGAAACCAATAAAAGGGAGTGTTTGAGGTTCTTATAATTTAGAGTATGGGTTGGCAACTACAGGGTGGGTGAATCCAGTCTGCCACTTGCTTTTGTAAATAAAATTCTGGCACACAGCCATGCCTATCGGCTCATGTATTATCTATGGTTGCTTTTGCACAGCAGAAACAGAGACCATATGCCTAAAATATTTAGATTCTCACCCGTTAAAGAAAAGTGTGCTGCTCTCTAAGGCAGCACGTGTCAGAGCTCGATATAGTAGGCTCAGGAATCAGACTGCCTGGGTTCAAATGTGAGTCTGCCCTTTAGTAGCTGTTAAAGTAATTAAACAAGGATGGGGTGGGGCTAAGGCACCAGTAGCCTCCATAAGCCAACCAAAACGCAAGCCAGAGTCAATGCATGGGAATGCTAGAAAATGAAACTCAAGCACAACCAATCACGAGACTTTCTCAAATAAAGCAACCACTTAAACTAGAGTCAATCAAATGATTTCTTTGCTTTGCTTCCTCATCTTCTCTATAAAAACCTCTCTCTGGCTCCTTTCTGGGATCTTGTCCCCGGAGCACCCCTAGCCACCTTTGGTTTGGCGCTGCCCAATTCAAACGACTATTGCTCAAATAAACTTGAAAACGTTAATGTGTCACCGTTTACCTTTCAACAAAGCTAAGAGATCTTGGGCATATTATTTAGATTATTAAGGCTCCTTAAAGCTCAGTTTCCCCATCTATAAAATGGAACCAAGAATTCTACTTACCTCGTGGACCCATTGTGGAGATTAAGTAATACAGGTAAAGCACTTAGAATGGTGCTTGACAATAAATAAAAACCATTAGGAAACCAAGTAGGACTCTAATTCTTTTTTGGTCGAAATGTTTCTTTTTTAAAAAAATCCTAAAGGAGCTTCTGATGTGTAGTTTACTACATTCAGCGACATTTCTTTACACGCTCATTAAGCTTTAGACTTGCTTCAGCAATTTTGACTTCATTAAAATGATAATTATTTCTTTAATTCCATTTCCTTTATCTCCTTCTTCAACATCAGCCCCCATGTTGGCAGCCAAGGCCCCGGGAACCAGGGAGAACCTCTTATGAGACAGTTTTAGAAGAGAAAGAAAATAAAAACAAGAGCCAGCTAGAGTTAGGATAATAAACGGTGAAGAAATAGTCAAATGTTTGTGGCGAACCAGATTTTTGAAAAGATGAATCTGAATACACCTGGGAGAAGGAGGATGAGCTAACATAATGTGGAAAGTAGCTACACAGAACACAGAGAACACAAAAGCATTCCAGCAAAGCCATTAGCACTGTGTCATGTCTGTGTCCCTAATCCGCTAATTCTTAGCTGAATTTAATCTTCCTTCCCCCTCCCCCCCGATTTTTTTCCACCTCCAGGACAAACACATCCTAACCAACAGTGTCCTTGGAAACCCCAACTAACTCAGATCCAATGGGGATTTTCGCTAGGCAGACCTGGATTTTAGCAGGTCCTTTGGGGTTTCATCGGTCAATCTCCATTTCGAGAAATTATGCACTTTTGGGAAGGAGCACAAATGAAAATGAACCTTTTTTATGGCCCTGAGTAAAACTCACTTTTTTCCTAGAAAATACAGGAAAGATTTTTCTGGGGAAAACTAATTTTAGAAGGGCCTAGCTCAGTGTCTGGCACTGAGAAAGTACACAATCAATATTAACTTGCCTCCCCTTATGGGAAGAATTCTTTCGCCAGGATAAGAGTTTATTCATCTATCCATTCAATTATCACGTATTTTTCAAGCATGAGCTACGTGTAAGGCACAGGTCTAGAGCCTGGGAAATAGGACAGCCAGATTTAGCAAAGAAAAATACAGAGCATGCCATCAAATTTCAATCTGAGATATACAACAAATAATTTTTAGTATATCTATATCTCATGCAATATTTGGGATGTATTTACACTAAAAACTTAAATCATCGTATATCAAATTTAACCAGATGCCCTATATTGTATCCAGGAATACTACTGACAAGAGGGTAGTGACCGAGACACACACCATCCCTCTTTCCCATGCAGCCATAACCATTCTAGCTTCAGGACCGCCCAAGATGGAATTCCCATCTGGCAGATCCCAGTCGGAAAGCCTGGGGCATAGACTGACCACCTCTTCAGAGGCACATGACCACTGGGGACCCATTTAGCGGTTGTCACTCTGTATTATAATTGCAACTTTATTTCCCTGTCATACTCCTCTGCACTTAAGGTGACAGGGCCTTCGTCTCTTTAGCCCTCTATCCCTGGATTCTATTGAGCACAGTGTCCGGAACTAGAAAAAATGCTCCATCCAGACCAGCTGAATGAGTAAGTGGGCGAATGTATAAATGGTCGCACTAAATCAAGGGTAATGCCAGACCGCTCATGGCTCCTAAGGAAGATAGTCACATACCTTCATAAATACCGAAGATAGAAGAGAAAACCAGGTCACCAGAATCCAAAGAACATAGGGGTGAAGAATGCTCTTTTATTTTAAAATGTTTTACGAAGGGACTCCAAACAAAACAAAGGCTTTAAAATAAACGAAGGTAGGGGGTAGGAGGAAGATGGTGTGAGAGCAAAGCTGTAACCCTGAAAAGAAGACTAAAGGGTCCTTGAAAGTTATTTCTTAACCTAATAGGTAAGAGCCAGTCAAAGCACGGATTTAACTAATTGGTAACGTAATAAAAAATAATTTCCCGTAGTTAACCAGAACCATAATATTAACTGAGGAATACGGTATCAACGAATAACAAATAATGAAGAACCATTTTATTATCAGTACTGACTGTCATACAATTGAAACACTCAGAAGGAAAATCACAAGAATCCACAAAAGGATAGATTCAGAGAAGTGCAAGGGACATGGTATCTACAATAGAAAATCATTCTGTGGCATCGACTCCTTTCTGTCCAGCTGTAAAAGAGGGAACAAAAAGTCGATATCTATAGAGCATGTTTCAATCACGCTAAGATTTTTTTAAAAAAAGAAAAAAGAAAGAAAAAGACAAATATTGCATTGCAGTTTCCCAATGACCAACACAATTAGCCAGGACTTCCCGCCTCTTTCCATCGTGGCTCCCCTCGCTGCCATCCTGTGGCCTCCTGGTGGATCTGCGGCGGCCAACACATCACAAGTGTGTCACACAACGATTCTCGATTCTCGGCAGCTCCTGTCAGTGCTCCGATCGGTAGGCAGGAAAAGTCTCTGTCCGATGAAGCTTCAGAGGGCTGGTGACATCTTTTCCGAAAAGAATTTAAAACCAGCGGTTATATTTCAAGAAAGCACGCGATCAAATTCGCTAGCAACAGGTTTCTATAGCAGAGAAGTAAGTAACATACAACATCAGATTTTTTTTCCGAGGGCGCTCAAATAAGAGTCAGGAGAGACTACATGATTAACATCTCATTTGCACGTGGTCTTTGTACTGAGCTATGATCAGACTACTAGCGGTTACTTTCCTCCTTAATTTTTTATCTTCATCAACTCCTTGTTCAGGATATTGAAGGGAAATGAGAAGGAATCATAGGACTATGAAAACTTTTGTCTAGGACACTCTTTGGAAACCAGACTAGAAATAAGGCAATACTGGGACGCCTGGGTAGCTCATATGGTTGGGTGTCTGCCTTCGGCTCAGGTCATGATCCCAGACTCCTGGGATCGAGGCCCACGTTGGGCTTCCTGCTCGGCAGGGAGCCTGCTTCTCCCTCCCTGCTTGTGCTCTCGTTCTCTCTCTGACAAATAAATAAGTAAAATCTTAAAAAAAAAAAAAAATATGCCAATATTATATTTATACTTAGGAAATTTTGTTGTAAGGACTCCTTAGGCTTTATCAATTTCAGGCTTGGATTCCAAACCAAGATAAGTGAAGAAGTCAGGAAGGCAACACAGAGGGCCCATGTTAGCAGCCTCTGTGAGATAAGACAGGGGTTGGCAAACTTCATCTATAAAGGGTCAGATACTAAGTATCTTAGATCTTGCAGACCATACGGTCTCACTGCAACCACTCAACTCTGCTGCCCGCAGCATAAAAGCAACCACAGTGCATACATGACGAATGGGCATGGATGCTCCAGCAAAACTTTGTTCACAAAAACAAGACAGTGGACTGTCTTTGGCCGGCAGTCCCTGGTTGGCCGATCCCCGTAAACAGAGCGCTTGATTTTATACAAACAAGAGGTTTTACTGCCACCTGCTGGCAGTAGTATTTAAACTCATTAACACTGTTTCTCTGTGTTACAGTGTGTGGGTCCGAATATGTGTGCAGTGGAAAGAAAATACAATCTGTGTTCAAAATGGTTAGGAGGTTGGGTTTGAGCCCCGTGTTGGGTGTAGAGATTACTTAATGAGTTTGAGGACTTCAGGTAAATAGCCCATACATCTTTATTACAGTTTGATAAAAGTTCCCACAGGAAGCAGACAAGTGTGCAAACGGCATGGATGCAAAATCCAAATCTTCGGTCAAGAACAAAGCCCTTCCTGAACTTTCATTTATCGCTGCTTAGATTGTAAAAGTATGTGAGAAAAGTGACTGATAGTATTCACTTGGGGTCACATCAGAATGGAAGCCCCTGCAGCCTCGATCATCATGCTGGCTAACAAATCTTTCTGGTTTGGTTTCAGTGCTATTTTTAGCTTAAAGCCAGGAAATGGACAGAATCACCTGCCCCATATTTTTGCAGGTCACACAAAGGTCCTGAGCTGGGACCAGCCCGTAGACCCTATCTCGGCCCAGACTTCTTCTCCGGCCTGCACAGGTCATAAAGCATTTGGAATTGATGGTCAATAGTTAACTTCAAACTTCCATAAAGGTGTCTATTTCCCTGTTCTCTTGTCCCTTCTTCTGCCCCAGGGTTCCTGGGATTCACCAGGGACCCCACCACGCCCATCCGTGCCCTGTCTCACTGTTTGCACATCCTCCCTGATCCTGATAGACATGAGAGCTTGAGACTTTCATTTATTTGTTACCCTTTCACATTTGCTCAAATCTTAATCTATTCTCTCTTAACTGATGCACACGCCACATATGTGACTGTGTTAGAATTAATATTGAAAAACCAGTGTTGATGTCTCTGAAGTAGCCACTTGCTTCTGGGAATCTACCATCGTTAAAATAAACATGAAAACTGCATGAGCTGGAACCAATCCTCTGGAAGAGCTCTTTCCTTTCTATGGTATGTGCCTTTGAGACACCCATGGAGGCAGAATTTCTTCTCACGGGTAAGAACATACGATAAAAGAAAGGAGTTTTAACGCTAGTCCCTCCACCCACTAGCCATGTGATCTTGAGCAGGTACTTGACCTCCAAGGGTCTCAGGTTCTGCCTTCATGGAAATGGAGAACACAGTCCTGCTTTTTCCAACTCCAAGTGTTGTCAGGAGAACCATATACGGCAACGTGAAGGATATCAGGAAGATGGTGACACAAACATCTGGTGCCAATCTCTGATTTCCTAAAATTATCTAAAGTCAAATCTGATAAATGATACCTATTTTCTTCTTGTTTATGAACAAGGGACACTGTCTTCCAAGGCAATTCCATTAGAAGGATTCTGGAACTATTAAGCAATGGAGCACCTTTGAAGTAAAAGAAAGATTCCTAAGAGGATAACTTTGAAAGCAAGTGACAGAGTTTAAGAAGGGCCCCCACTGAAGAGGGACACACCTGCTGTCTCCTACCGCCCCCAAGCAGGTCTTTAAGAAAGGCTATCTTCATAAAAGATACTCATTCAGTATGTTTTGTCTGCCTTGTGAGGAACAAATCTAGCACTTCACTAGTGGTCTGTTCATGTTTATTTACATTAAAAAAGGAGAGAACAGGTTTCATGTGCAAATAAATTTGCAGAGCTCTAGTTTAAACAAAATTAAACAGATTCTTTATGGCAGGACATCTCGAAACCTTGAAAACAGTGATTGGCATTCTCAAACTCCAAAAGGAGAATTTAACGTAACATGGAGCATTTCCCCCAAACTTACTGGACTACAGTACTGTTTTGGGAAAGAGCCATATCTACTGAGGCTAATACTCCACGGAACACACTTGGGAACCCACCGCTCTGTGGTCATTTTAGGCGATGCATTCCCGAAAGAACCCTGTGAATACAGTGTTCAACTTGATAAACGCTTCTCTTTCATGAATTTCCTCCAGGATTCATGATAAACCTCTTTCACGTGTTGATTTTGTATATGCTCAACCCTCAAAGGCATTTCGATATGAAAACTGGAAATGGGGCAGGAGAGGCAGTGATGGTGGATTAAATCTGTCTTCACCTACCAGGCTGTGTCAAAGCCAGCCCCTCTTGCCCGCCACCGACAGGAATAATAAGAGAATAATTCCAAAACCAACCAGGAGGTGGCTCTGTAGGACTGAATTTGGAGAGGAATTGACCTGTTCTCCAACCAGATGGACCAGTGTCCCTGTAAGGGTCTATATGTTTTCCAAGATTAGCTTCCAGATCTGTCATCTGGAAAAGTCATCCTGAAATACCCCCCAGGCAAATGAGCTGGCCAGAGGAGTCACAACTCACAAACACCATCAAACAAGAAGACATCATGGGCCATGTAACCTCAATGTATGGCACACACAGGCAATGATGTCATTTTCTTCCAGTTTCAACTTTATTCTGGGGGTGGGGGGAGGGGAAGGAGGAAGACAGGTAGCATATGCAGATCAACACACGAACTGACCCTATTTGTCATGTAAGTGACCACCTCTAATAAACAAGATAATTTTAGGTAGTCCGAGAACTTTTTTTTTTCTTAAGGTAACAAATTACTGGTAAATTGAGTCCCATACGACACATAGACCACATATTGGCCCTGTATCTCAATGAATACTGGTGACTCAAAAGCGATCCACAAGATAAAACAAATGTAGACAAATCAACGCAGAACATGTAGGTGAAGAAATCTCTCCGTAAACATTGGTACAAATTAAATATAAAAATTAAACACATTCACCAACACGGGGAACAAAAGTATGTAGAAGCAAATAATCTGATGGAGTAACTGGTACCAAAACATAAAGCAAAAAATAACTCTGAAACAATTATCATGCCATTTTCATGCATACAGATACTCTAAGATATTAGAGTATTCAGCAAGTATTATCCGTGTGCCAAACAGGGAAAAACTGTAAGAACTCAAACGGAAATTCATGTTCAATGAAGATCATAATGTGACAAAGAGCAACCAAGAGAAGCTTTAATTATCACCTTCAAAACCTAGAACACAATCATCTTCAAAACCCTATAGATTATCAATACAAAGCTTGAGAATCCATCAGCTCTGCAGGAAATCTGTGGTATTCATTCTCATTGTGGTGGCCATTAATCTCACTAGAAATTAAGAAATCACTATCCTCGAATTACTGTTCCGGGACTCCTATGTCTGTGATCACTTGAAAAATCTATACCAAGAAACCCGAACCTGATTTTACAGTAATCTCTCATTATTTTTGAGTGATAGATTGTAGGGATAATTAGTAATAAAAACAATAAAGGGAATAAACCCAAGTTTAATTCTGATGAGTTGATTTGTGACATGCTAGTGTTGATAAAAGGAAATAATGGGAACTTCTCAAAGAATGCGAATTTCTTTCTTTGCTGTTATGCTGTGTATAGATCTTCTCTACTTCTAGAGGTACCATTATCACTCCTATTACTTTGGAATTAGTGGATTACTAGTCTTTGACAATCATCCCAGACCCGTGAGCTGTGTATGGCCTTCCACCCTTAATATGGGCTTTTTGCGTGCAGGTGAATTTGCAAATTTTGTTGTTGTTCTTGAAAAAATGTGTCTGTATGCTGTGGAAATAGAGCTGTTTCCTTCATAGTAACCAGATGTAGATGTTGTCAGAACAGTCTTACATACCTTGGGAGCATACAAACAGAGTGTAACAGTATCCACAACATCCTCTTTATACCTAAAAAGATGTTTTTTGAAACTCCAAAAGATTTTGTAAAGTATTATTATACCATCAGGGTCCTGATAAGACCCTCAGGCTTTGTCATTCCTGATGAATGTCTGCTCATTTGGGTTAAGGATAGTTTGATAAGTTAAGGAGAGGAAGGTTAGTATGCTCTTCATATGGCATCTTTTCTTAAGCTTTTCTTAAGCTCTGGGATATTCACTAATAAATTCTAAAACTGCAACATATCCTAAGTGTTCAGGTTATCCCACTGTCAGCGCATCTTTGCAAACATGCTATTCTAGGGAAATCCCACCATACATCACCTTTGATGCAAACCGACTTCTCAAATTACCACTCAGTATCTCAGGAATTAAGGTCACTTATCAATTTCCTCCCTATGAAGCCTACATCACTTTGGTTCCCAACTTTTCTTTGCAGGCCCGACATGCAGAATCTAAAATGACAAACTTTCTTGGTAAAGATCATCTTGGTTAAGTGTAAAAAGTCAAGTTACAAAGCAATTTAATAGCTTTGTGTGAATTTATGTTATTCATACTTCTTTAAACTTTCAATAATTACTATTTATCTGAAGGGGGGGAAATCGGAGGGGGAGACGAACCATGAGAGACGATGGACTCTGAAAAACAAACTGAGGGTTCTAGAGGGGAGGGGGGTTGGGGGATGGGTTAGCCTGGTGGTGGGTATTAAAGAGGGCACGTTCTGCATGGAGCACTGGGTGTTATATGCAAACAACGAATCATGGAACACTGCATCGAAAACTAATGATGTAATGTATGGTGATTAACATAATAAAAATTTTTAAAAAATAAATAAAAATAACTGCTATTTATCTTATTGTATATTAAAAAACATAGCCAGTTGCTGGGCTCCTGGGTGGCTCAGTTGGTTAAGCGAGTGCCTTTGGCTCAGGTCATGATCCTGGAGTCCCTGGCTCAGCAGGGAGTCTGCTTCTCCCTCTGCCCCTGCCCCCTCATGCTCTATCTCATTCTCTCTCTCAAATAAATAAATAAAATCTTAAAAAAAAAACCACCGCCAGCTGCTATAATAGTATAAAGGCAGTGGCATACAATTTTCTTTACAAAAAGGAATTTATTTAAGGAGATGAGACCGCGTAAAATTGAATAATAGTACAGAGGGTATGCATATGAGAAAAATGCTGATAATGTAATTCAAATATTGCAAAAATTTGTGAACATGCTAGGGAACAAATGGTCTTCGGGACAACCTGATCTAACCCAACTCTCTCTCTCTCTCTGTGGGTATGTCCTGGGAAGTAAGCTTGTTCACTCACACAGACACTCAGGATATATTTTCTGAGCATCCACACTGTGCCATGTTCTCTGCTGGGGAGCAGAACTTACAGTCACAAAGACTAGAATGTAAGTACCCTCAGTACACATTCGTTCAACAAATACTCAGGATGGCCACTGCGTCAAGGCACTGGGGGGATAAAATGATGAGGACAAAAGACCCAGCTCTCCTTGGCTTTACTGCTTCCTGGAAGATGAGTCCACTAGCCACACAATTCAACATGATGTGAGCACTGGGATAAGGACTCTAAAGAGGGGGGGTCAGCACCCTCGTCTTGGGAGCACACATAGTCAAGATCCCACGCCAGTTATATGGGAGTCCGGGAGGGTTACCTTGGAGTCGGGAGGTAAGACCTAGAGATGAAAAAGAGTGACCTAGGATGGGGGGAGAGGCCCAGGCTTCCAGGAAGAAAGAACGGGAAAAGCTCTCTGGGGGAGAAATGGCCACCAGGAAGGGCTGAAAAGGCTCAGTGACTAGCGAACAGTCAGTGCTATTTACGGCCACCTCTGTGGCCCTTCATTTGTTCTCAGATTCATTTATTTGACAGATTACTGCATGTGAACTAGGTGCCGTCTCGCGCATGCCCTTCAAAGTTCTGGCGTCTTGCAGCTGATCATGCAAAGTTCTTCAGCAGGGGTCCCCCACAGAGGCCTATTTATTTTTTATAAGTTACATATGCACAAGCTATTCTTGCATACTGTAAACCATAAAAACTGCATTTGAGAAGATAAGAAAATGTTTAAAATTTTTTTCCAATTATTCCTGCTGTCCCCACCATGGGCCCTTCTGTATCCCGCTTCTGAGCCCACTTTTCTGGAAGACAGGCCTCCTAGGGTTTGCTTAGAGTCCCTGCAGAACCAGAACCCAGGGCCCTGCCCCAGGGCATCCCTTTCCAACAGCACATGGTTCCTAAGCTTGGGCATTCGCGAGAATCACCTGGAGGGCTAGATGAACACACAGATGGCTGGGCCCCAACCCCAGAGTGCCTGATGCTGGAGCTTTCAGGATCCCCGAAGGGGCCTGAACATTTGCCTTCTAGCAAGTTCCCAAGTGATGCTGATGCTGCACTACTAGCCCGTTTTCTCGCCGCGTGGACCCCACCCCTCTTGCGCACACCCTGTGCAGGTGTTTGATCAAGGTGGTTTGCTCAGCCACTTCCAGAAGAATCTGCATGTTAAACTATTTCCCCAGGACGCTGTGATCGAGGACGGGCCCCGGAGTGCGGCCTCGATGGGGGCCCTGGCCCCGGGGGAAAGGGGACAGCCAGGCTGGCTGTGCTCCCCCACCACAGGGCTGCCAGGCGCACTGCCCGGGCACCTGGCCCGGCGCTTACCTTGCAGGTGGCAGAGCTGTCCAGCGCTGTGCTGTTGCGTGATGTGCTGCCAGTAGGCACTACGGGGCAGGGGCACCATGGAGCTCAGGGAGGCGGCCCGCTCGCTCATCTTCATCTGGAGCTGCACAAAGGGAAGAAAGGAGTGTGTCAGCGACCCTGGGGCTGGAAAAGACTTGACTGAGAACTGGGGCGCTGGGAGTCAGAACCTGAGAGCAGCTGGTGGGCAAATCAATGGGCATCTCCCCGCCGAGCCGCGGGGTAGCCATTGTTTTTGCTTAGTTAGCAGCATCCGTTCTTCCCCCCGCTGGCAACAGTGTGTCCACTTTCCTCTGGAGAACCTCCCCCCAGCTCAGCCCAATCCATCCGGTTACAGGGCGCTGACCTCACCAATGATTCTAGGGATGGTTGGTGACCCAAGTCAGGCCAGTAAGACACAACCCCTGGGAACAGTTATTAGAACTTTTGTGGAAGAGAAGATCAACAGAGGTAAGCCAAGGGTTTTTGCCTGTGTGGTTCACTGCTCTCTCCCCCAGGTCCAGAATATTTCCTGGCACGTGGTAGGAGCACAATAAATACATGTTGCGTTGAATGAATGGGCTTCCTTGTGGGGCTGCTGGGGACAGGAGATGCACAGGAGCCTGCCTTGGAACAACGAAGGGAGAGCCTGCCAGTCAATGAACTGATTCCGAGGAAGACAGCCAAGAAAAGGCGGTGACCTTGGATCCCACCTAAACCTGGAAACTGGCCCTGGACTTCTCAATTATATGAGCCAATTATCTCTTTTCAGTTCAAGCTGATTTGAATTGGGTATTCTGTCACTAGCATCAGAACAAAACACTGTCTGCTCTTCCAAGCGCCTGATCCCTGTTCCAGATACTGATGGAGGGAAGGGGAAGCCGGGGCTCTTGGGCCCGGGTCCTGGGGAGTCGTCTGTGGCCTGTCTGACACACTGGTGGAACTGGCTTTACAAGGGAAGTTTCAGAGAGAAGGTGGCCTCGTAGGATGGGTAGGAGTTGAGTAGAAGGACAGGTACACAGGGACAACACAGCTAGAAGAGCATGAGTGTGATGTGAGGCAGCCCTCCCCGCCCCCCTCTCATCTCAGCCCCGTCTAAATGCAATCATGGCTTAGTTTTATTACACATTAACAGGAGAAGTGACTACTCACAATGTTTGATTTCCCGGAGTTGTCTGAATATCAAATAACCCACCTCAGTTTTACAAATGTGCCCAGAAATACACAGATCTGCACAAGCTTATGCAGTGGGACATAGTTTGCAAGCGTCGCAAACCAACCAGAGGCAGCTTGAGTCTCTACTGCTGAGGACCTGGTTATTTGCACTGAGACACTAGGACATACTTGGCAACTGCAAACCAGAGGAAGGTAGATTCACGTCAACGGAAAAGGAAACATTTATATATTGTATTGTTAGGGAAATGGTGAGTTGCAGACCACTGTATCTAGTGGAATGTCATTTTAATTGGTTGTATGAGAAGCAGTGACATTAAATGCCTGCCCACTTGGGTTGTATTAGAGTTCAGTACCTGCTCAGCACCTGTCTAGCACAAACTAGGTACAGGAAAAAAATGAGGGATATAATTATTATTATTATGAATTGCAAGGCCCATTTAGAGATTTTTTTTTTTTAAGAAAACTCAAACTCTCCATTCTACACACCTCATCAGTATGGTAGATCCAGGCCTAATATCTGTCCATTCATTCAGTGAAGCTGAAATAATAGGAGGCTTCATACCCCAGTGACCAAAACTCATTCTAGTTGATGAGATTGAACTTGAAAAAAAGATTAGAGCCATTTATTCCAAAGATAATTTAATTTACATGTGTTGCATTTACATGCGATGGATTGAATTCTCCATCCTATCACAATAGGACAATTACCAGAATGTGTTCCCAGGTAGAATTAGTACTAGGTTTCATAGGGACATTTTCTTCCCCAAACATGTCCTGTCGGATCAAAAGGGCAAAGAGCCGAGCACAAAGCTAGTAGAAAAGTTCTGTTTCTCTATTTCTGTACACATGAAAGTCTCAAAGCTTAAGAGCAAAAAACAAAAACAAAGAAGCAGAAACCTATTTACCAGTGACTTCCGGTGACATTCAACCTCATTTACATGGAACACAAAAATAAATAAATAAATAAATAAATAAATAAATAAATAAATAAATAAAGGAAAAGAACTAGATTTCCAAGGTCCTGATTATTGGATTTTCTTAATAAAAAGATATTCTATTTAATACAATAAAAAATTTAATATAAAGAAAACATTCGGGAAATAGCCGTCCCTTCAACTTATTCACTGCAGTACCGTGAATGTAGTTCTGCAGGCCAGCATGATTTGACTGTATTTTTAGAAAGCTTATTTAGGAACAAGAATGCAATAACACCAACATCATGTTTCATGGAGAACATTACACAGCCTGGCTCTCTCTTTCTTCCTCAACCCTTTGAAAGATTACCGTAGTTCATGAAAAAAGGGGCATCTTAATTGTCTCCAGAGAAAAATAATGAAAAAAAAAAAGTCTTATTTAACAATGCAATACTTTAAGGGTGAGAAGTCATTTGGTGAGATACCTATCAGGGAAGTTTCCACCCTCATTCTTTATTGCTGCAAGGCACTCTGAGTCTTAGTCTCAACACCCAGTGCAGGGGACATGAATGGATGCTCATTGACACCACAGCTGGAAATACAAAGTAACACTACATTTTCGGAGGATTTAAAATTAGGTCATCTTGAGTACATGGAGAGAAAGGTTGCATTCTTCCTCCTTTTTCTTTTTTAACCTTACACACTTTTATATAGTTTGGTTTTTCTCGTTTATAAAAATCATAGTAATTTCACATTAAGGAGTAAAAAAATAGATGACCCCAAACCATAAACGTTTGAAGTACAGCTATTTCTGCTATAACGAGACATGGACATTTCTGAAAAACCTCCCCATCTGCAATTCTTTTGGGAAAATCGGCTTATGGGACGACCCCTCAAAACGTATGCTGCTTTCTAAGCAAAGGAATCGCTCCTCTGAGAGGCAGCTTGGAGGCTTAGAGGCTGGAGGTTTTGCAAGGGTTGTTTAAAAAAACACACACACAGGAAAACATTTGGTTAGAAATGCTGTCTTCAGAAGTCCAGGCTATGCAGATGGAGCGTAGGCTCTTCCCCAAGGGTGTGCCCTGCTGGCTGTGTAGCCCCGTGAACAAGAGCTGGTCCAGAGCTGTACAAGGTGGGGATGCACCTCTCCGGGTAGAGCCTTTGGTGCCTCTGCCAATTTCTTATCTTCTTAAACTCTAGCTGGAAGAGGCTCTGCTGTGCAGTAGTTTACTGAGGGCTTTTCCCTGTCCTGCTAAAGGTTATAATTCTACTCCTACTATTCTGGGCTTCCCTTGCCTAGGAAAAAGAAAAGTGGGTTGTTTTTTTTGTTTGTTTGTTTGTTTGTTTTTTGCACCAACGCACTTTGATATTAGAATAAATCATTCTCCAATTTATCAAATGCATCTCAACTCAATGTGAATACGGAAATGGTGTTTTAAGTAGAACTGTCTACCATATCTGATAGTCTTGTTCCCACCTTTTCATTAAATAGGTATCCTTGAACCCTATATATATTAAAAAAAAAAAAAAATTATCCAAACCATCCATTTTGCATCCTGCGACTATTAGGAAAGTTTAATAGAGTCATGGAACACCAAACTACGGGAATATCCAGCCCAGTTTCCTATGTTAAGAAGCCAAAAAATTGGTACCCGAGTTCACACAGCAAGGTGTTAGCTGGCCCCTTCGTCCCAGGACCTGAACTCCATCTCTCAGAACCTACTGACCAGCACCTATTTGTTCTCCACATTTGTTCAAGTTCAAGGTCACATTCAAATTGCCTCCTAAAACCATGGCGGCCAAGTGGGGAGCAGTCTTTACACGTGCACATAAACATGCTAAGTTTGATTTTTCCAGAGATGATAAACTTACAAGGTTTGGCCATCTGAACAAATAAATGGAAAGAACATTTCTTCAGCTTATCATCAAATACTTGTTGATTTTGAGGCACAGTCTATAACCTCAAAGAGCTTGTGTCTAAGACAATACAGTAAGGGCAAAGCAGAGGAAATCTGGGTGCCCTGGGATGACAGGAAAAGGGCATCAAAATCTGAGCAGGAGGAGTGACAAAGGAACATAGCAATCAGGTAGGAACACAGATTAATCCCCAGCCGTCTCCCCCGGGGTCACAGAGGTTCTGGTAGCTCCGCATCTTAGTACATCTCTCAGACTACCTCCAGCCCGCAGGAGGGCTGCAGGATGTCTGAGGTCAGACTAGGTGTCCTTAGTTGCTGCTTCTAAATGTTAGACTCTTGAGATGCCTGGATGTGTGTGCACTTGCGGCTCTGGGAATGATACACCCAGGGAGCCCAGACTGTGGTCAGTGCAAGACAAGGCTTGGAGACAGTAAAGGGAACATGGAGGCTCAAGGCTGGTTGGAAAGATCAGTGACTAAAAATCAGAATTTTAGAACCAGAAGGGAATTGTGTTCTTTGTTTTGTTCACTGAGGTAGTCTCAGCTCTCAGAACAGTGCCTGGTAAACAGTAGATGCTCGGCACACTCTTGCCGAGGGAAAGAATGAATCCAGTCAATGATGTGAGAGAGCTGGCTCGAACCAGCTTGCAAAAGCCAAGTATTACATTTCAGGCATTTTTTGAGCTGGTTGTTAAATGCAGCCATCAATAAAAATTAAATTACACAAACTTACAGTTAAATAAACTGTGTATATAACATATGCAATTGTACAGATGTTATTCAAGTCATAACAGATGTATTACTCAAGACTCATCACTTCCTGGGTATTTTACTATCATCTATGCTCTGAAATTATTTGAGTCGGTTACATCTACCTGGTAGAAACACTGTAAAATAGCGTGTTTCTCTATGTCATTTCCCAACTCTGTGTACACACGCATGCACTGTTTTTCAGAGAGCCAGTTATTAAACATTTGCGAGCACGTGAGTGAATCCAACCCATAAGGGTAAAGAAGGGCTTGCCAGCCAAATAGGGAGTACAGACAGGCTGTGTGTGGTCTGTGTGCACCCCATTTCCCCACTTCTCACCTGGTTGATGCC